CCAGGGAAGGGGTCGAGTCCCCAGCCCTGGGGGGATTTAACAGCTGGGCAGGAGCGGTGCTGAGGGCCAGGGTTTGGGGGTGGGATGGCAGGGGTAGGGGAGCGGTTGGGCTGGGGGAGCTTAAAGGGCTTCTTCAACCCAAACGATTCTGTGATTCTGTCATAGCTGTCCATCTCAGCGGCGCTTCTTCCATGTCACAGAAGATTCACGGTGCTCGTCTCTAGCTCTCAAGGACTCTGGATATCCCGGACCTGTTGTAACAAGCTGCTTCTACCAGCACAGAACCTCCTTACCCTCCATCGTAATCCCTGGCATTGGCGGCAGAAGATACAAACTCACAAAAGGCTTTAAAGCATCTCACTACAAGCGGTTGCTGTACGAAGCAGTCCTGCCCCGCTCCCCATCCAAGCAAACCACTGCCTTCCTCCGACATGCGGTCGCGCTTAAGCCGGATCACCCGATCCAAAGGTAATGCCAGCCTTAGCCAGGCTTGCTCGGCACCTAGAACCCGGAGCTGATCTGGTTCTTTCGGAAATCACTCGCGCCAACACAAGGAAATGGGCTGGAGGGAGCTGCCTGGGGGACAAAACCACCTCTCACGGGCAGCATCGCCTGCAAATCCACGCAATGCAAAGAGGAGCACTCAGGAACGCGCCCAGCTGCACGCAGGCTGTTTGCAGGGGTCCCAGAGGCGGCTCCCATCAGCGGCCGCCAAACCTTCCACCCACCAGCGGAGCCTGGTTCGTTAAGGCAGAGCCACCAGCCGAGCCCCCCGGTGCCGAGCCCACCTCCTCTGCCCGCAGCACAGGCATGGGCACCCAGGGCTGCTCCCGCAGCCGCGCCACGTTCCTCCCCACCAGCTCTGCCGGGTCTGACGTCTCCTCCTGGAGGCACGCTTCCTCCCTTCCTCTCTCATCAGCCCCTGCCAGCTTCTATCGTGCCTCTTCCACGCTCTCAGCCTGCGTTTGGGCCTCCTCAGCCCCTCACCACGTGGTCATCGGCCCTCCTGAAGCTGCCCAGCGGCAGCAGGCTCGGCGGGGGCTGGCAGAGCATCTCCTCCCCACCTCCTTGCCCCTCTTTGACCGGGTATCAGCTGCCCAAAGCGGCTGCTGGAGCTCCCCACGCAGATTCAGCATTTTTCTCTGCTGCAGCGGCGGGCGGGGGGGCTGGATCTGCAGAGGGACCCGGGCAGCAGAAGTCCAACAGTGGCCAAACAAATTGGAGGGTCTTTAAGGAACCCCGCGGTGCCACGTGCCCCTGCTCCAGAGTGATTTTCCATTTCCAGTTCTGGAGTCCTTTGCTGTGTGCTGAGTGAATCACATCCAGGACTGTCACAATTTTAAAACCTTACGGAAGTAACTTCTGAAGTGACTGGCTCTTGTTCCCAGTTAAACATGTTTAGAACTAAGATAGTCCAAGAACCTGTGAGAACTTTCTTTAAATAAAGCAGGGGTTGGGGTGGGTTTTTTTTTTAAACTTAATGGATTTTTCTACAAGAAATTAATGGAAATTCTAGGGTAAAAAGACCCAAACCTGAAAAACCTATTGCCGGGTTGTACAGATTCAGAAAACTCGTCTTGCTGTTTGGCTGATGTGGTTTTCATTTTTGATATCCACCACCCCATCTTCGCTCCAACCCCGACCTTTCTTTTGTAGGCATTTGCTGGTTTGGGCGCAAACGCGGATGTAGCTCCCAGCACAGCCCCACAAACGAGACCACCTTGAGGACCACGACTCCCCTTGGCCGAGGGCTTCCCCACCGCTCAGGAGCAGACTCGTCCTCTCCAGCTCCCCTCCTCCAGGCGCAGGTTTCTGGAGCCAACCATGGCTGTCTCGCCCTGCTCCAAGCTCGCGGCCGTGCCCACCTCGGCAGGAGGCTGGGCCATCGGCGTCAGGGACCGAAAATAAAAGAAGAGGGGTAGACCCGGCTCTCCTAGCTCAGGCCCAGGCTGGGAAGCGGCGGAGCTCGGCCAGCGTTGCAGAGCTCCCCCTGGGATATTGAGGACAGTGACGGGGCAGGCGTGGAATGGTTAAACGTAGTCAGGGAGAAACAACAGGAGCTTTTCGGGCAGAAACCCGGGCGATGCTGACAGCTATGGGCAGGCCCTGAGTTGTTCGATCCCGTGTTCCCAGCTAGCTAAAAACCTCCACGGCTTTTTGGGGCTTCCGTGGGTCTTTGAGTGAGCATCCCAGCCGTGCCAGCCCGCTTCCATCTCCATCATTTGCCACAGTAAATCAGAAACGTCCGTGCTATGCCCTGGGTCTACCTGCCTGTGCTGCGGGGGCGGGCTCCTATACATCCCTCCTCTCTGGCCATGGGAGCGCCAATAAATCTCCCTTGGATGAGCGTCCTGACCGAGAAGGCAACACTGACTTTCCTGTAAGCGTTGAGAGAGGTGGAACAAGGAAAGAAATAGGACATTCCCACGTGTCCTGCTTGCACGGACAAGGAAAGCCTGGCCCCCGCCTCTGGCAGCCA